CTACTATAAAATAAAAAGAAGAGGAGGAATCCAAGGGAAACATGTAAATACATTAAGTAACTGAGAGAGAAATGGTGTCCATTAAAGGGGAAGAGGGAAGAATCAGGGTTTGTGGGGTAGAGAAGGGAACTCTGGCCTCCAGTTATCCTTGATCATTTCAATGGGCAATAGTGACTGCCCGAAACATAAAACACGGCTCTCAAAGGCCAATTCTCCCATCTCCCTCCAGCCCTAAGCAAACCTCATTGCAGCTCTGGATAAAATTTGACAACTTTTGGGAGGAATCAGTCAACTATCAGGAGTAAAGCCAGAGGACATAAGAACCAGAGGTAACAGTGAATGGAAGTCTAACCGTTAAAAATGGTTTTCATGTGTGTGTGTATGTGTGTGTGTGTATGTGTGTGTGTGTCTGTGTGTGTGTGTCTGTGTGTGTGTGTCTGTGTGTGTGTGTGTGTGCTGGAGAAATGGTAAGCCACTCCAGTATCTTTGCCAAAAAAGCCCAAAATCGAGTCACAAAGAGTCAAACATGACTGTATAACTGAAAAAAAATGTGTGTATGTATGTATGTACATATGTATGTATCTATGCATTTATGTAGATAGATATACACATACCTACACATTTGCATGTGTATATGTAAAAGTATATATGTGTAGGTGTATTTATTGACACCATCTCAAATCAATAAACATTTATTAAGCACCTATTATATATCATGGTTTGTACTAAGCACTATATACTTATTGACTACTATACGCGGTATATAAGCCGCATGTCATATGTTAATTATATAATTACATACTATATACATCATATATTACATCATGTTGGTCATATAATTAATGTGATGTAATAGTCTGCTTCTGTATTATATAATATATAATTATATGAAATATACAAGCAGTATATCATATAATATAAATGCTTATTATACAAGGATATTCACCTTGTCTAACTCTGTAGGTGAATTTCAACCCTCACTATCATCTAGTATTGGACCTAGGAAAGGAAAGGCAATATCTACAAATAGCTGACAATTTAATCATAGAACTTTTAAAAGCCTTTGATTTCCTAAGTGATTTAAGGTTTTCAAAGGCTTTACATATGTCATCTCATTTACTGGGCCCTTGCTATGTACGATATACTGAGATAGTATCAAGAGTATAATGAAGAATAAGGAGGCATTGCTGCCTTTATAAAGCTTCCAGTCTACTAAAGAAAGTAGAACATGTCTATGAATCATTGTAATTTGTTACATAGAATGAGGACAGGGTAGGTATAATTGAATGACATGATCTTCAAAAGAGAGGTTGCTAAATAATGATCTAGAAGTGCAAGAAAGAATCAAAGAGCATGCTGACCTCCTGGCCACATGGATTAGGAGAAATGAAAAGAGGAGTGACCTCTACAGTATGTAGTTTGGAGACATTTGGTGCTTTCCAGAGAAAACCAGATTCCAATTCATTAATGGAGATAGGAAGACTTGAGGAATGGTTAAAGGATATAGGAGAGTTCCTTCACAATACAAGAGATATTGTAAAAGGGCTTACTAGAGAGGCTAGCTTGGGAAGAAGGAAGGCTAAGCTAGATTGGAATGAGAATATAGAAGAAGATATAGGAGAATGAATTTGTAGGAAAAGAGTCATAGTCATGATTGAGAAGTAGGCTTAAAGGGCCGTGTAAGTGATGGAGAAAAAGATTTTGAGGGAGAACAATTCAGTAAATGGAAAAGTTTACAAATTGCCTCAATCCCAAGGTTATCTAAGTAGGTGATAAGTCTAGCCTGATGCCTAGTTCATCAGAGAATGGAACTGTTTTACCAGATGACCTCTGTTTCTAGTGTAACTCAACATAGCACACTCATTTTAATTGGCTTTTTAAAAATTTACTCTGACTGGCATACCAGTCCCTCAGTAGGTGAGTTGAATTCAGTAGCATGTTAAAAATGGCCAGGATGATTAGGTTATTGGAGAGCATGCCATGTGGAGCTCAATTATTTAAATTGAGACTCCTAGCCTAAGGAAGAAAGAGTTTAAGAACATTTGATAGCTTCAAGCATTTTGAAAAGTTGTCAGATGAAAGAGGAAGTAGACTTTTTCTGCTTAGTCCTAGGGAAAAGAACTAGAAGCAATGGTAGGACATCATAGAGAAGCAAGTTTAGGTTCAGTGGCAGTGAGAACCATAAAGTTTAGATCAGTAGTCCAAAAGTAGAAAGAGCTGGCTCCAGAGATGGCAGATTACTCTTCACTGGAGGTCTTCATACAAATGGCCACTTGTTGGCAAGGTTGTAGAGTGGTTTGTGATCAGTTACAAGTTGTAGAATATGGCCATTGGAATGCTGAAAAATCCATAAAGTGGCTGAGTTATCCAGCCTAGAAAATAAAGGGTATCCTTTTTGCACTCTCTCTCTCTCTCTCTCTCTCTCTCTCTCTCTCTCACATACATACACACACACACACACACACACACACACACACAAATACAACACTATTCCAACTGCTGCCCAAAGGACCAAACAGAAAAGTCCAATCCCTAATCCACATGACAGCCTTTCAACTGTCTGAAGATAGATAACACATATTCTTAAAGTGGCACAGTGGATAGAATGCTAAAATTGGAGTCAGGAAGACTCGAATTCAAATCTTGCTTCAAGCACTTATAACTGTGTGACTGTGGGCAAGTCACTTATCCTCTCTTAACTTTAGTTTCTTCATCTGTAAAATGAAATAATATAGCACTACTTCACAGAGTTCTTGAGAAGATAAAATCAGATTCTATTGTAAAGTGCTTCACAAATTTTGTAGTGCTATATCAATTCTAGTTATTATTATTCTCCAAAACTATGTGTCCATCTGAGGAAAGATGGCATATTCATAAAGATATGTGTCATTTTTGACCAGATCTGTGATTCCATAGGGACCTCTATCAGTGCGGATCAACAACTGTCCTGCAATTTACAGTCTTTGAAAGTTTCTTGTAACACTAAAAGGTGAAGTATCTTGCCCAGGGTCACAGAGCCAGGAGATGTCAGAGGCAGGACTCTGAAGTCAGCTCTCTGATCATCACAATAATCTGCCTCTGGAGATTTCCTCAATGAGGAATTCTTACAAAAGGAAAATAACCCAGAATCTCTATGATTCACTTGCTATTGGAGAACAAACTTCCAGGTGAATTAAATCTAAGAACTTGCCCCATTGTGCATGGAATGAATGAGGAAAGCTGCCTTTTCTTCTTGTTACTCTCCTGGTTGTTCTCATTATGAAATGGCATACCTGCCAATCTGTCATTTAGAGAATTTAACAATTTCCATCCTCTCATTTTCAAGGTTGCCAGTCATTTTTTTTGTTTTTTTACATTTTTTTCAATTACATATGAACAAAAATTTTAATATTATGTTTTTTTTAATTTTGAGTTCAATATTGTCTCCCTCCCTTCTCTTCCCCCTTCCTAAGAAGTGAAGCAATTTTGTGTAGATTATACATGTACAGTCATGCAAAATATTTCCATATTAACTATGTTGCAAAAGAAAATGCAGACAAAAGAAGAAATAAAGGAAGTTTAAAAAATGCTTCAATATGAATTCAGACTCTCTTAATTCTTTCTCTAAAGGTGGATAAAATTTTTCATTATAAGTCATCCAGAATTGCCTTGGATCATTGTATTGCTGAGAATAACTAAATCATTCAGTTGATTATCATATATTACTGTTGTTACTGTGTACAATGTTCTCCTGGTTCTACTTATTTGAATTTGCATCAGTTTGTGTAACTCTTCCCAGGCTGTTGTTGTTGTTGTTATTTTTCTGAAAGCATCTTGCTTATTATGACAATCATTTTCTAAGATTTCTAATTTAGAGGGCAACCTACCATTGAATCTGCCAACTCAAAACCTTTCTGTCCATGCTCTTCCCATTTGTTTCATTATCAAAGAAGAAAGCACTCCTCCTCTCACTAGGTCACCCCTCTGCTTGTCTTTAATTGCATCCATCCTTGTCTTACCAGTGACTTTGCTACATTGTCCATGTTTCTCACCTTCAATGTTGATTCTTATTTATGTCTCCCAAAATCTAGGAAAAAAATCCCTTCCTTTGACCTTGCCATTCCCTCAAAATATCAGCACCTATCTCTCTCACCTTTCATTACTAAAATACTCCAAAGTTTACTTCTGTATTTAAGATCACCATTTCCTCAACCTCCTTCATTGTCCACCTCTATAAAGGTAAAGTAAATAGATTGTCCTGTGACTATCACAGGGGGAGGGAGCCTCTCTCTTAGTCTTTGCTGACAAGGTTCTTGCCAGAGTCCTCCTTAATAGGCTAATCCTGCACCTGGAAGATGGTCATCTACCTGACTGGGCTTCGGAAAAGACTGAGGAATGGTTGATATGGTGTTTGCTGACCAATAACTAAAGGAGAAATTCCAGGAACAGAACAGAGGTCTGTATGCAAAGTTTGTCAATCTGCCCAAGGCCTTTGATACTGTCACTCATGAGGGTGTGTGGAAAATTATGACAAAATTTGGTTGTCTGCAGAAGTTCGTCAGTATTGCACATCAGTTTCAAGACAGCATGTATATGCAAGCTCTGGGTAATGGATGATGTTCTGGTATTTTCCCAGTCACCAACGGAGTGGAGCAAGGCAGTATACTTGCTCCCATTCTTTTTAGCATGATGTTTCAGCAATGTTGTCAGATGTCTTCAACGAGGGCTGAAAACAGCATCCAGGTCAGCTACCACGCCGATGGTGAATTATTTAACTTAAAAAGTCTACAAGCCAAGGCTGAAGTTAAAGGAGAGTTGGTGCATGATTTTTTTCTTCACAAATGATTGTGCACTCAGTGCAGCTTATGCATCGATTCTCTGCTACTTGTGCTAATTTTGGCCTAACAATTAACACCGACAAAATACCTATTCTCCACCAGCCAGCACCCCACCATTAATTCGTGGAACCATTAGTTAAAGCAAATGGAGATAAATCTAATGCTGTGGACAAGTTCACTTACCTTGTCAGTATACTATCCAGGCATGTACATATAAATGATGAGTTTGACACACACATTGCCAGAGCTAGCTCAATATTTGGAAGGCTCTGAAGGAAAAGCATGGGAAAGAAGAGGTATTATCAAACTGAATGTCTACAGAGCTGTTGTACTGACCTCACTGTTGTACGAGTTTACTAGCAACATTCTAGGAAACTGAATCTCTTCCATTTGAATTGTCTTAGGAACATTCTAAAGATTACCTGGCAATAAAAGGCATCAGACACTGAGGTCCTTTCTCTAGCTAAATTGTCAAGCATTCAAATTCTACTGCAGAGATCACAATTCCTATGACTGTCCACATTGTTGGAATGCCAAACATATGTTTGCCTAAAAGACTATTTTATGGAGAACTCACACAAAGCAAATGCTCTCACAGAAATCATAAGAAGCAATACAAGCACAGCCTCAAGGTCCCTCTGAAAAACTTTGGAATTGATTGTGAGGCATGGGAGACACTGGCACAGAACTGCCCAGCATGGCACGCCCTCATCAAAGAAGATACTGTGCTCTATGAGCAAAGTAGATTTGCAGTAGCTCAAAAGAAAGGTGTGCAAATTTTGACATCTCCACTCCAAGTGTTCATACCAGGGATGGGGAACCTGCAACCTCAAAGCTACATGTGCCCTTCTAGGTCCTTGGGTGCGGACTTTTGACTGAGTCCAAGTTTTACAGAACAGATCCTTTTATTAAGAGGATTTGTTTGGTGAAGTTTGGATTCAGTCAAAGGGCCACACTTGAGGACCTAAATGGCCACATATGGCCTTGAGGTCACAGGTTCCCCACCCCTGAGACTATTTAGGCCCAACCTATGGTATAGCCTTCAGAGCTTATATTGGTCTGATCAGCCACAGTTGGATACACTGTACCTTGACCCCAACATAGTGATGTGATTTTGGTCCTCTTCAAGAAAGAAGGCCAACAGCCAATCATTTGAAGTCAAGAAGCTTTAAATTCAAATCCTATGTTACCTATGGGATACAGTAAAGGCAGTAATTAGAGAAAAAATATATTTATAAATGCTTATATAAATAAAATAAAGAGCAGACTAATGAATTGGGTATGAAATTTTTAAAACTAGAAGAAGAATAAATTAAAAATCTCCAATTAAACACTAAATTAGAAATCCTAAAAATTAAAGATGAAATTAATAAAATTGAAAGCAAAAAAAATTAAAATAATAAATAAGACTAGCACTTGATTTTATGGAAAAACAAATAAAATAGATAAATAATTGATTAATTTGATTTTTAAAAAGAGAGGAAAAAAACAAATCACTAGTATCAAAAATGAAAAGGGTGAATGTATCACTGATAGAGATGAAATTAAAGCAATTATAAGGAATTATTTTGTCCAATTACATGCCAATACATTTAACAATTTAAGTAGAAAAATATTTATGAAAGTATAAATTGCCTAGATTAGCAGAAGAGGAAATAGAAGATCTAAATAGACCTATTTTCAGAAAAAGAAATTGAACAGGCCACAAATGAACTTGTTAAGAGAAAAGCACCAGGACCAGATGGTTTTACAAGTGAATTCTATCAAACATTTAAAGATCAACATATTCTAATACTAAACAAATTATTTGGAATAATAGATAAAGAAGGGATCCTACCAAATTCCATTTGTGAAAAACATGTTACTGATACCTAAACCAGGAAGAGTGAAAACAGTAAAAGAAAATTATAGACCAATTTTGTTAATTACTATAATGCAAAAAATCCCAAATAAAATGCTAGCTAAAAATTACAACAATATATTACTAAGATTATACATTAAGATCAAGTAAGATTTATGACAGGAATGCAGGGAAGGTTTAACATAAGGAAAAATATTGATAAAACTGATTACATCAATAATAAACATTTTTAAAATCATATGATATATCAGTAGACACAGAAAAAGCTTTTGATAAAGTTCAACACGTATTTTTATTTTAAAAAAAACTTCAAAGTGTTGGCATAAATGGGTTTTTCCTTAAATTGATAAAATAAAGCATTTGTTTAAAACCATCAGCAAGTGTTATTTGTAATGGGGATAAACTAGGAGCTTTCCCAGTAATATCAGGTGTAAAACAAGGATGTCCACTGTCACCAATATTTATGTAATATTGTAATGGAAATCCTAGCAATAGCAATAAGAGAAGAAAAACAAAGAGAAGGAATCAGAATATGGAATGAGATAATAAAGCTATCTCTTTTTTGCAGATGATATGATAATATGCTTGGAAAATCCCAAAGACTCAACTAAAAACTTAGTTGAAATAACCAATTTTAGTAAAGTAGCAGGATATAAAGTAAATCCACATAAATTATTAGCATTCCTATATGTCACAAATAAACTCTGCAAGAAGAGATAGTAAAAAAAAAATCCTATTTAAAATTACTCTAGACAATATAAAATACCTGGGAGTATACCTGCCAAAACAAACCCAGAACTATATAAACAAAATTATTTTAAAAAACTTTTTTATACAAATAAAATCAGATTTAAATAATCGAAGAAATATTAATTGTTTATGAGTAAGTAGGGCCAATATAATAAAAATGACAATTTTACCCTAGCTAATTTATATATTCAATGCCATTGCAATTGAATTACCAAGTTGTTGGGGGGGGGGGTTACTGAATTAGAAAAAAATAATAACAAAATTCATTTGGAAAAACAAAAAGTCAAGAATATCAAAAGAAATAATGGGAAAAAAACTAAAGGAAGGAGGTTTAGCAGTAACAGATCTTAAGCTACATTATAAGGCAGTAAATATTAAAACTATCTGGTACTAGCTAAGAAATAAAAAGTTGGATCAATGGAACAGAGTAGACATGCAATTTACATCAGGAAATAAACATAATAACCTTATATTTGACAAGTATAAAGACAAGAATTCATTATTTGTTAAAAATTGTTGGGAAAACTAGAAAGCAATCTGGCAGAAACTGGGCATAGACTAATATCTTACACCATATACCAAGACAAGGTCAAAATGGATACGTGACCCAGATATAAAGAGAGATTTTACAAGAAAATTAGAAGAATATGAAGCATATTACTTATCAAATTTATGGATAGGTGAATAAACAAGAGATAGAGAGCAAAATTAGGTGTAAAGTGGATAATTTGTATTACATTAAATTAAAAGGTTTTAGACAAATAAATGTAACCAAGATCAGTAGGAAAGCAGAAAAATGGAAGGGGGAAGGTACTTGTAGACAGTTTATCAGATAAAGGTCTCATATCTAAAATATATAAAGAACATCGTCAAGTCTATAAAAATACGAATCATTCTCCAATTGATAAATGGTCAAAGGATATGAACAGGCAGTTTTCAAATGAAGAAATCAAAACAATTTATATTCATACAAAAATGTTATGAATCATTATTTATTTGAGAAATATAAATTAAAACAACCTTGAGATATCATTTTACACCTATCAGATTGGCTAAAATGATTGAAGAAGAAAGAGACAAATATTGGAAGAGCTGTGGAAAACACATTCATTGTTGGTGAAATTGTGAACTGATCCAACCATTTTGGAGAGCAATCTGGAATTGTGCCCAAAGAGAAGTCTTTGACCTAGCAATACCACTACTTGGTCTATTTCCAAAGATCATCGGGGAAAAAGGAAGATTCTTTATGTTCTAAAATGTTTATAGCAGCTCTCTTTGTGGTGGCAAAGAACTGGAAATTGCAAGGGATGCCTATCAGTTGCAGAATGGCTGAACAAGTTGTAGTATGTTATTGTAATGGAATACTAGTGAGCTATAAGAAATGATAAGCTTAATGGTTTTAGAAAAAGATGGAAAGACTTGTATGAAATAATGAAGAACAAAATGAACAGAACCAAGAAAACATTGTATACAGTAACAGCAACATTGTTTAAAAACAGCTTTGAGTGACTAAGTCATTTCAACTATTATAAATACTCGAATTTACTACAGAGCACCTATGAAGATGCCATTTGCATCCAGAGAAAGAACTGACAAATATATGTGTGTGTGTGTGTATGTATGTATATATATATATATATATATATATATATATATATATGTATATATATATATACATATATATATACATATATATGTATATATGTATATGTATATACATATATACATATATATGTATATATATATGTATATATATACATATATATACATATATATGTATACACACACACACACATACACACACACACACACACACACACACACACACACACACACACACACATACAAGCACACATCCCTATTTACATCTAATGGTATCTGTCCCTAGAGCAGAGGGAGGGAAGAAAAAAAGAAATTTACCTGCTAGTTTGTTCGTATATTTGAAAGGGATAGCAAGTTTTCCATAGTAAATTTGCAATTCCATTCACAACCATCTTTTTTTTTTCTTTTTGCTTTTTGGTGAGGCAATCAGGATTAAGTGACTTGCCCAGGGTCACACAGCTAGTAAGTGTCATGTGTCTGAGACTGGATTTGAACTCACATCCTCCAGAGCTCCATCCACTGCACCACCTAGCTGCCCCACAACCATCTTTTTTATTGTAATATGTTATGGAAGTGCTTGTTTTATTCTATAAACTAAAAATAAAATTTAATGATAAAAAAAATCCTACCTCAGATACTTAATGGCTGTGTGGCAATGACAAGTAAATTAACCTTTCTTAGCAACAGTTTCTTCATCTGGAATGTGGGGAGAGTAATAGCACCTACTTCTCAGGATTGTTATGAAGATCAAATGAAAACTAATGTGAAATGCTTTGGAAGCCTTAAATAGCTATATAAATGATGATGGTGGTGGTGGTGGTGGTGGTAATGATGATAAATATAAACTTAAATTTCACACTGGTGTTGGCCTTTGGAATCTTCTTCTGGAAGAATCTCAAGCAACAGCTCACTTAAGTTTGCTTCTTCTACAATCTACCCCCTTCAATTTGGTCTTTCCTCTTCTTTCTTCTAAGATCACATTTCTTTTTTGTTTACTTTACCCTTTTAAGATTTTGCTGATTGAGAGGAGTCACACAGCTAATAGGGCAGCTAGGTGGCACAATGGATAGAGTGCTGGGCCTTAAGTCAGAAAGATTCATCTTGGTGAGTTCAAATCCAGCCTCAAATGCTTAACTAGCTACGTGACCCTGGGCAAGTCATTTAACCCTGTTTGCCTCAGTCTCCTTCCCTTTAAAAATGAGCTAGAAAAGAAAATGGCAAAATGCTATGATATTTTTGCCAAAAAAACCCCAAATCGGGTCACAAAGCCTCAGACATGACTTAAATGACTCAACAACAACAAACATGTAACCAACGACAACTTAGATTTGGTGCAGGAAAGGACTTTCAAGGTCTTTTAGTTCAATCTCCTTATTTTACAAATTAGGAAACCGAGACTCAAAAAGATAAAGTGATTTGATCAAGGTCATATCAATAGGAAATGGCAGTACTGATATTTTAACACAAGTCATCCTAGTCCAAGTCCAATGCTCCTTTCATAAACTAAAAAAAAAAAATTCAATTTTAGCAGAAAGATTTCAAAGCATCATTCTGCCCACAGATGCCAAGACATAATGCCTCATGCTGTAATTGTTTGTTAAGTGTTAATGATAATTTATCATTCTATGAAGTCCTGGTCTGTTCTAGATATTCTCTCAACACCCACCTTTTAATGAAATCTAGGAAATTTAAGTTTATTACACTTGGGCTACATTGAAAAGGAAATGACAGCTGAAGCTTAAGTGGGTGTGGAAAACATCATGTAAGGAAAACACGACAGGGATACCTTAAGTAAAATCCTTGAACCTCACAGACAGCTTCAAATGTCAGACCAAATGGACAATGCATAGGAATCTACAGGGAACATTCTCTTCCAAAGCTCCTGTTTCTGATGATTAATATCTACATTTTCTAAAGTAACTTTTGTAAAATAATAGTAAATATCCTGAGATATTTAATCCTATTGAAACAGGCCTT